CTACTGTATAGGACTAAGAACAAAAGCCGTAAGATGTGAGGCTTGCCAAATGATGTACCACAGTAAATGTCCATCACATCTCAGATGTATTAGGTGATGCATACAACAATGATGAAACTCAGGGTAATGGTCTTTTTCACTTTTACTGCACTACATGCAACAAAAAACCAGCATTGAATGTAATGAAACACCATTTTCTAGGTGAGCCTCGAAGGCTCCCTGAATATCGGACTGATATGTGATATACAGTATTAGTATAGGGCATTAGTCAATGGAAATCAGCCTATCAAGACCACAAGCCAGAACCTGGGCCCCCTCAGAGAGGCACAGGAAGCAATGGCATCTAGGAAATCCCCTGTGGTTGGGGTATTCCTTGTCTGCCACTGACCGAAGTTAGGCACCCATAAAGGTAGGCATAACAAAACAAACCCCACTTGGTAAGAAAATTGCAACCAAAAACTAAACAGGGAGGCAGAACTCCAACTCTCAAGGAAACAAGCAAACGTGTTACACCGCCGCTGCACTGCTTGTCCACGCAGCCCTCCCCTTCCCTTGAGGGGGAGGGGTGAGCTTCAGACCCCTGCACCAGCTACTCACACCCCAGCTCAGAGGCCGAGTATCAAAAGCAAAACGAAACCGCCAACCAGATGAAGGGAGGGTGCCAGGGAGCCTCCAGGGCTCACCCAGAAAATGGTGTTTCATTACATTCAATGCTGGTTTTCTGTGGGGACCCTCTTCGGCTCCCTGGGGTTAAATAACCCAAGATAAGTATAAGAGGGATTTACCTGGGAGGCAGCCACCACGAGCTCCTCAACTCTAAGTCGAGACAACTGGCTGCAACCTGCGACTCAAAGCTACACACGAACGAGCAGAACCAGGAATGTTGACCAAATAATGGGCAACCAGGACCCTGTTTGACCTCCAAAATCCCCATGTCCGAATGTCAGCCCAAGACACTTTGCCAAAGACGGCAGCCAAAACAGCAAACTTATGAACGTCATGGACACGAGGATAGACCGGCCAAGCATGGAAGTGCCAGCAGAAAAGAAAATGGCCACCAGAACAAAAAGAGAAGTGCCTGATGCAAGAGCGCCAAAGTCACACCAGCAAATGTGGGAAACAAAGCAGATGGGAGGAGGGCCGAAAAAATACCCACCCAGAAGGCACAAAGTCCAAGCAGGGGGCAAACAGCCCCAGAATTGCTAGCAGGCTCCCCTCACAGCTCTGGGAACCCCCAACAGAGGCCCCGGAGCAAAATTGTCCTCCATGCCATCTACCCCCTGAAGAAAAGGCAGAGTTAAGGGAAAAGGTAGCAAAGAAGGTAGCACGGTCCTACCAGCAGACCTCCCCCTCCCCCATCTACTGGTAGGACCCAGAAGCCTTGGCAGGAGGAGCAGGCTTGAATGTTTCCATCCCCAACCCGAATTGAGCAGCCCCCAAAGCTGCCCAAATCTCATCACCAACTAAAACACACCTCGACCCCGAAACCTGCAGATGTTCCGAAACCGGGAGCAGGATGGGGGGGCGCATAATGCCTAACCAAAATGGGGCAGCCTCTGAGGATTTCGAGTGGGCAACCAACCTAGTGCATTGCAGCAACCTAAACCGAGTAAGCAACGCGGATGCTGCCGGTACCCGGCGGCAGTGACAATAGAATGGGTAAATTGGAGCACGAGCAGATAACACGTCTTGCAAGACTCCGGGTCAAAGGTGTTGTTGGCCCAACAGGCAACATGACGGAGGCATAAGAGGCGACTGTCAACTGAGACAAGGGGGACAGAGCATGCTTCAAACTCGCACAAGGCTAGCTGGAACTCAGAAGATGCATCCAGTGGTCTACTGAGCCCTGACAAGGTTTTCCAGGGCCTGCAGGCTGACTGCTATGTGAAGCCCAGGTAAGGTGCTACAAAGCCGGTGAAACCCAAGAGCTAACAAAGGAGGACGAGCTAAAAACTAAACCCCTGCAACGTATACAAACATGGGGGGTTTGTATACGTTGCCCCCGTATACAAACAACCATAAATGGACCAATAACCAAACAAGGCAGACCCCTCCTGGCTAAGGAAAACAAAAATAAAAGAATAACCCTGCAAAAGTACAACATCTCCAGAAGAAACAGGCACATGGCTGCCGCATAGACAGGCAAGCTGAGTAGCACCTTGCACCCCAACCAGCAACAAGACCACTTCCTACCCAAGGCCAAACAAAGGCCACGAAACCCCAGCTGGCCCCAAGGGTGGAGCAAATGCCGAGCAGCAAGAAAACGTACGGAAGTGGTTTCCCGAAGGCACTATGGAAGGCAACCCTAGCATCCAAGGGTAGTACTTACAGGGCGCTTAGGGAAGGTAGCCCTAAGCACATGCAGCCGCAGTACACTAGTTACTCCTGGCCACTGCACCGCAATACTGCAGAGAACACCACTAAGGCAAAACACTGCCAAGAAATCAAAGCCAGAGTTGACGACCGCCCCAGATCGCATCAGCCAATGAACTGGGGTGTAAGTACCCAGCGCAGCACAGGGGTCCGAGGCTCCTCCTCTCCCTCTCGGGGAGGGGGAGGGGGAGGGTTGCATGGATAAACGACGTGGCGCCGGTGAATGACATTTGCTTGTTTCGAGAATTGGGGGAGTTTTGCCTCCTGTTCAGTCTTCGGTGGCAATTTTCTTACCAATTTGGGTTTGTTTTACTATGCCTACCTTTCTGGGTGCCTAACCATGGTCAATAGAAGACAAGGAATACCCCCCAACTACAGGGGTGTTTTCCAGAAGCCATTGCTCCCTGTACTTCTCTGAGGGAGCCAGGTTCTGGTTCGTGGTTCCTGGTAGGCTGAACTCCATTGACTAATGCCCTAGACTAATATATGGCATATCAGTCTGACGGCTCCAGGGAGCCGAATAGGCTCCCCACAGAAAAGTGAAACCTGTCACTACCATAGAAAATAGGACCAAATTGATGAGAAAATAAAAGAACTACAACATATTCAAAAGAACCTGGTGATACAGTTTTAGGTTGTTCAACAATCAATAAAAAATTATCCTGGGGTGAGACAATTGCAGAAAAACAGGAAAATTCAACAAACAGGGTAAACATTGAAACTACAAGCAAAGTTGTTGAAAAAGATTCAGAACTTTTGGAGAGAAGCAACACAAATAATTTCATTACATGAAACCTTATAAAAGAAGGAGATATAACAGATAAGCAAAAAAATGAGGAAATGATAAAAAAATTAATAGGCAAGCAGGAAGATCTAAGCATTTTCCTGGAAGAGAGGTTCGGTAAGCCTGTAGCGAACTTGGTACATATAACTATCACAAATCTTGACTTCGGAAGGAATATATTGTACACGGAAAGGCACAACATCTAAAACAACCAGATGAGTATAGCAATATTTACCTATCGCAAACCTCACAATAAAACAGAAAAACCCAGTGTCAAATGTAATGAAATGCCACTTTTTTGGAAGAACCCCAGTGACTTTCCAAAGCCATTTTGCCAATATTGACCCATACTTAAATGTCAGAGACCCAAGAGAGTGGGTTATAATCCACCACCCAAATGGAAACACCTCCAGAAAATCAGCAAAGCTTTACAGATGACTCGAGTAATTACAGAAAACAAAGCCCTGAACCTGCCAAAAAAGCTCTGCAGATGATTCACACAAAATGAGGGAGTCACTCAAATCTGCTTGAAACTTGTTAGTATCAATAACCACTACGGTACCAGGCAGCTTATCCCCAACACTCAGTCGACTTCCCAACTCAGTTCTGGAGCTGATGAACACTAACAACAAACCGACAAACTTACAGGGAAGGGAAAATTGGGGAGCCACTGGAGCTCCTCCAGAAGGTGGTGTTTCATTTCATTTAACACTGCTTTTCTGAAGTGAGCCTCCCCAGTGGCTCCCTAAAGCTAACTAATCAGGGAAAAGTGGGACATATCAGGGAGGAGTAGAATCAGAGAAAGCAAGCCTGGGTCACCAGCCAGTTACACGATGGGACACACAAAAGTGTATCTAGAAACATACTAAAAGTGTTCCTATTTAGTATAAATACAGTACAGCTGTAAAAAGTACAATGCATGAGTCAACTGTACAGTGAAAACTAAATTTCTAGGAATGAAAACAAGTCACTTTAAATAAATCTATTCTCAAACCTATCAAACATCATAGGAAATAGTCAGGAAGTGTGATTGGGCTTGAGGCATGAGATATGATTCTGACATGTGGGTGCTGCCAGAGATAAGATGTGACAGTCAGATGGGCAAAATGACAGTTTGCCAGAGCTACTTGGTGGTCCTTTTTGTGCCAAGTAAGGTTTGGAAAGGCATAGTGTGTTTATGAGTGAACTTTCTTTGGTCACTCTGGGTTTGACTGAGCCTTTCTCCAGTGCCTTCCAAGTACCAGTATAGTCCGATAGGGATTTGAGAAAGGTTGTTATTGCACCAGTGTAGTTTCATCCTACGCAGATGGTCATGATTCACTCCTATGAGCCCACAGGTGACCCTGCTATAGGGAGCATCTGTGTGAAATATCCCAGAAGTAAAAACAAAACAATAAAACTGTAACACAAAGAATAGATGAAAAAATTGAAAAGAATACCTTAGAGAGAATTGCCACTACGATTATTAACTTGTCAAAAAATCTAAAAAACTCATAACACGGTGTAAAATTGTAGAAAATTATCTCTTCTGTTCTGAGCAAGTTTTCTGGAATAAAACTATGCATACTGTACTAAAGTGAAATAAGACACTGCAATATATATCAGCCAATATCCCAATGCATTACAATATTAATTCATTAAGGATTCACAACTAATTAAAATGACACAGAGGTGCTCCATCAACACAGCTGTAGTTCAAAGTTTGCTCAGCAGTGAGTGTACATTAATATGATATAAGTATATGAGTGCATTTTGTAGCAAATTATTACTATAATAAAAACACTGACATCAGCAGAAAAATAGGAATAAAGAAGATGCATGTGGGGTAATGCTTGCAACTCACCAGAGACCGTGAGGGGTGGATTAATATGAGCATCTGCATAACGACGTGGGCGTACAAAACGGGCACGGGCAAAAATCTTGAGCACAAGACAGATGAGTGCGGACAACACGGACATGCCTAGACCCAGACCTAGTAGTGTGGGAACATCTGGCTTCAGGGAGTCTAAATCTGAGAAGATGTAAGGATTACATTACATAAAAGGACAGTAAGAAAATGCTAAATAGATAATACTGGAAAGTAAAGAGTATGTTTCCCACGAAACAAGAGAAAAAGTTGGATACTTGTACTATGTCCTATTCTTAGTGCTTGAGTAGGGTAAAAGCAGAGAAGTCAGCATAAATTACATGACAAATCCTCAACAATTGTATAATACAGTACATTATAATAAATCTTTAGCCACATAAAAAATGGAACTAATGTACATTATTAGCTTTTATGCTAATACAGTATGCATTATTTTGCCCACTTCTCTCTGGAAAACTCTTGTAAGCTGTATTTCTAATATCTACTAATATAGATGTGTTTTACAATAATTAGCATCAATATGATCCAATCTGATGTACCGAATGTCTCAATGGTTTCATTGTTATTTTCACTTTCTCACTTTCTTACACGAGTCCATTTACAGGATCTTAGCTCTCCCTTCTCACAGATCAACTGATACCTTATCCTGCTAGAATTCCCTGGAACATAATCTGCCAATAAGTTTACAACCAGATCTTCAATAACTTCTGGGTGAACAGTGACAAACAGAAAAGTATCTGTGCTCAAACATTCCTCAGAGTCTAATGCTCAAACTTGTGCCAATATCACTTATAAGGCATGTATACAAAACTGCTGCAGCACAGGAAGCTGTGAATAGCCAGTGATGGTTAAGAATCCACCATGTCAAGCCTGAGTTGCTTTCTGCTGTTACTACGAATAACTGATTACCTGTACTCACCTAGTTGTGCTTGCGGGGAGTTGAGCTTTGGCTCTTTGGTCTATGTTTGTGCAGTGAAACGTAGGCACATTGCATTAACATTTAAAACTTAGATATATTTAAAACTATACAGTATGTATAGTTTGTATGTATGCATATAAAATGCTTCAAACTATTTTCTTACGCTCAGAGTTAAGAAGAGCATTCAAGTTACCGAAATTCATGGTAAAAAAACTTTATTAATTATTGAAGGGGTTATTTTTCTATAACGTTTTGTTCCACTCAGGAACAACTTCAGGTAAGGAATGAATATACTAGGTGTAAATTTATCTTAAATACACATGTGAAAAAGGTTGTGTGGGGTAAGGTGAAGTACAGTAATCAAACAGCTAAAGTAACAGAGAAATAATGGGGATGAATGCCAATCAAACACTGGGCAAGGCGGTGGGCTGGGAGAACTCGATAAAGATATCGTTATCCTGTGCTGTATGGTGATGCCTGGATTTGAGCGTAGGCAAGATATCAAAGTCATTACTTTATATATTTAGGGTGGGTCTTTTTTCTTATATGAGTATTGCTTCCAAGAATTCCAGTCTTCTCTGGTTGATGGTGGATGCCAAGAGAGTTGTATTTTCTACTAGCATGTTCTTAGTGAGTGTTGTGTTATGTACATTTTGCATATGGTTTCTAGGGGGCACCAGCTTGTAGATGGCAGGTCAATTTTCTCGAAAGATTTATGGTGGTCATACCAATATTAATAGATTTTTTTTTTTTTTTTTTTTTTTTTTTTGAGATATATACAAGAGTTGTTACATTCTTGTACAGCCACTAGTACGCGTAGCGTTTCGGGCAGGTCCCTGGAATACGATCCCCTGCCGCGAAGAATCGTTTTTTCATCCAAGTACACATTTTACTGTTGCGTTAAACAGAGGCTACAGTTAAGGAATTGCGCCCAGTAAATCCTCCCCGGCCAGGATATGAACCCATGACATAGCGCTCGCGGAACGCCAGACGAGTGTCTTACCACTACACCACGGAGACTGTAACGGAGATCGAAGGTGACATCCTTCATTGTGGCATGTAAATTGATATACCACCTTTGCCTTTTGGAGAGTGTTGTATTGTTTATTAGGGCTGTTATTAAGCATTAAATTAGCAGTCCTTTTTGTTTTGGAGTAAATAATGAATTCCAATCTTTAGTCTGGGGGCTGTTGGTTTCACTTGATTTGAAATCCTATTTTAAATTACTCTTTCATCTGTTTTACACTGTGAGTTCATAGTGGATTTGTAATAAAGCTTCATGCGAAGGATTGTTTGCTGTTGCTCATCATTTTTCTTTCTGTGGTTCTATCATAGAAACTAAGTAAATTCATTTCACAGGACCTTCCAGACCAAAAACCATATTGTCTATCTTATTACATCTTTTTCTCCAGGCATTCAACCCATTTGATTTGAATTATTTTTCCAATATTTTGACTAGTACGCTTGTCAATGATACAGGTCTATAATTAAGGGGGGAGGGGGGTCTTCCATGCTGCCACTTTTGTAGATTGGAACTATGTTAACCTTTTTACATATATCTGTCAGGACTCCTGTATACAGATATGATTGAAAAATCAATTGAAGTGGAATGCTAAGCTCCGGTGCACATTCTCTCGGAACCCATGCTGAAACTCCATTTCGGCCAACTGCTTTGTTCCTACTTAGCCCCTTGAGCATTTTTTTTTTCATTCCTTTTCTAGACACCTCTATGTGCTCTATGTTGTTAATTGGAAGTCTTATTGTCAGCGTCTCTGAAAATTTCATCTTGCATGAACACACTTTGGAACTGTTTTAAAGTCTACAGGGTTCCTAACACTGATGTGACTGAATTTAACTCAAACCTTAGAAATCTTATACTAGAGAACCGACTGAACAAAAACCACTTAATTATTTCTGGTGACTTTAACGTTGACCTCTGCGAGCCTGATAAGTCTCCTGCTGCTAGTTTCCTCAACTATATGAATTCCTGCTTCCTCATACCCATAATCACTAGACCTACTAGAATCACTGACAGTACTGCCACGGCTCTTGATCACATCTGGACCAACATAACCTCTCCACTTACTTCAGGGATAATCATCGATAGCACTACAAACCATTACCCCACATTTCTCCTAACCAACATTAACAAACCACCTCTAGAGGCAAGGGAGATAAGCTTTAGGCTGCACAATGAAACTGCTATAGGCAATTTTATAGCTGCTGCTGCTAATATCAACTGGGAATCTGAATTAGGGAACATAGGGGACATCAACCTAGCAGTGCAATCATTTCTTCAAAAAACTCTCAGCCTTTACAACACCCACTGTCATATGCTAAAGAAACAAGTCACAACTAAAAGGCTAAACAATCCTTGGCTTACAAAGGGGATATTTAAATCCATTAATAAAAAACATGACCTTGAGAAGAAGTATAGGTTAGGAATTGTCTCCAAAGAATTCTCAAAGAATTACTCATCATTGCTATCTAAAATAATTAGGAGAGCCAAAATTAAATACTACGAAGACAAATTTACCCACACAAAGGGTAATATTAAGAAAACATGGAGCACAATTTCTCAAATATTGGGATCAAATAAGATTATAAATAACAAACCAATACTCCTATCAAATAATGATGGTCTGCTTTCAGCCTCTGACACTGCTCTTGAGTTCAATAGGTTCTTCTCTTCCATTGGATCATCCCTTGCAAATGATATTCCATCGTCCAGTACTAATATTCAGGACTATCTTACAGGAATCTATCCACAGTCTCTGTACCTAATGCCTACTAATTCCACTGATGTTACTGACATAATCCTTTCCCTTAAAACCAAGTCTAGTGCCCATGAGGAGATACCAACTCTTATTTACAAAAAAGCCTCCAGATTTTTAGCTCCTGCCATTGCATTGCTCCTCAACAAGTCACTTGAACTCCAAACCTTTCCAGATATTCTAAAAAAAGCGAGAGTAACCCCTGTCCACAAATGTGGTGATCCCACTGATGTTAACTTCAGACCTATATAAATTCTGCCAAACTTATCAAAAATATTTGAAAAACTAATCTATAAGCAGCTTTACTCTTATCTAGCCAAACTCAATATACTTAGCTCTTGTCAATATGGCTTCAGACCCCAAAAAAGCACTAATGATCTAAATATAGCAAAAAATTTTCTAAAGCTGTCGGCATTCTTTCTAATATGAGATATTATGTACCTCATCCTGCCCTGATGATGCCCTATTACTCTCTTATCTATCCTTTTCTCAATTATGGTATTTGTGCTTGGGGTTCTACTACCCAAAATCATTTACGTCCTCTAATTACACAACACAAAGCTGCTATTAGAACAATATCTAACTCTGGCCCCAGACAGCACTCGGTACCCTTACTCAAATCCTTGAATATGTTAGATATTAAGTCACTGCACATCCTCTCATGTGTACTCTATATATTTAAAACTCTGAACTGTAATGTCAATCCTGACCTTATAAGCTTCCTAGAAGGTTGTAACAGAACCCCATGGGCACCACACCAGAAACACTTTGATATTCCAAGAGTGCGACTTAACCAAACTAGAAATGCTCTACAAATCAAGGGAAAACCCATAATGTGGAATAACCTCCCCAATCATGCCAAAGGCTGTACCTCACTCAATCTGTTTAAGAGTAAAACTAAGCACTACTTAATTAACTCCATGTAACCTACCTTAGCCCCTAAATGTCAACCCATGTCTTGCTATTTTAAATAATGCTGTTTGTTGACCAACTTGTACAATTGCTGATTTCTGCCATGTCCTTCCCCCTTTTGTTTATTCTTTTTTCCAACATAATTTATACTTTAATCTCATTTACTATTAAGTTTTAGTCCAAGTGTCTCCCCCCCCCCACACCTTGCCCAAAACGCTATGCGTATTAGTGGCTTTAAGTATTGTATGTACTAGCTCTATCTATAAATCCAACAATGTTTGTAGCTCTTCATCTATGTATGTACTCTTACCTGAATAAAAATTTGAATTTGAAGGTAGTACAGTAATGTCAATTTGGTAGTTGTGTCGTGGATTGTTGTGCCCCACATGTAGGGTCTTACATGTATCGACATTAAAAAGCATGTATATTACAATACTGATATATTATTGTATATTACTGATAAGGATGAGATTTCTTATCTGAAGAACAAATGAGAACAATAATAATAGAAAAATGCCAACATGAAATATCAGTATTGGAGTTCTGCAAGAATCTATACTGACCCAAATAATTACTATACAGTACCAGTATATGAACAAATATTTTGTATTTTTAACTTTCCACCAATATTTTCTGCAGTCTAAAAATAAAAAAATAAAATGTTTGAAAAAAAAAACCGTACTCTGACTTAAGACACCTTAAGGAAATTGAGCCATAAGAGGATGATGGAGTTCAATGTACACAAGTTACATGCACTATGAACTGTGAAACTTACAATGTGTCCACATGAAAACCATAGGCTGTAATACAAATTCTGACACATAAAGAGACCTAGGGGTAAATATAAAGAAAATGTAGGGAAATAAGCAAAAGTCAGAGAGCCTATAGAATTTGAGCAAGTTTTAGGATAGCCTACAACTGCTGAGGTTTGATTAAGATTGTGTTTTCTGTAATGGACAAGTATGAGGTACACAATAAACTAGCTGATGCTGGTGGCAACAATGAAAATAGACCTAAATGGAGTTACGCTCAAAAGTAAAAATGCACAATAGTGTATGTCAAACCTACACTGAAATATGCAGCTGTGGTAGTGGTTTCACCTAAAGAAACACACATGGAATGTAAAATAAGAATAGAATAAACACATGCAATAAAATAGATAAAAAAAAGAGCTACGAGGAAAGATTTGTGTTTGCCCAAACACGAAGACAATACAATTAGTAGATGTGATAACAACAAATAAGTTTGAAAAGGGATACAAGACAGACAGATAATACAGAGTTTTTAAAAACAAAGAAAACAGAACAGGCCATAATTGTAAATTATAAGAAATAGTGTAATATAGAAGAGGTAAAATTATATATATTTTTTTCGCAAATAGTAGCAGATGGCTTAAACTGAAGGTGGTGGTATTATGTCACAAAACCACTAAAATGTTTAAGAAAGTTAAGATTGAAATACATATAGATGGGACACCTTGAGCATAGCCCTTTTCCTATAAATACAAATAGAATATAGCACAATTAATAGTCAATAAATGGGATCCAAGAGATGAAAAGGAATCCCTTAACACAGTTATGTGAATAAACACTCATGCACTCACTTTGTTTCTCTCTCTCTCTCTCTCTCTGCTGTGAAGACACGATAATACAAAATACTCATCAAATAATTTGTAATTGTGAAACTGCAATAATACAGCAAAATTTGACACCTACCGGGAACACAGATCTTGGGAATGGCAAGACCCTGGATGACCCTGACCTCGTAGTTGTTGCGACATTGACACTCGGTAAAATTAATTGAGTACTCTTGGCAAACAGCATGTATTTCATGATACATGCACTGATCATGATGGATACAAGGATTACCAAGTAGTACAGCTGTGGAAAGAAATTAATTCATCAATCACCAGTTTCTTAGCATATATATATAGAGATAAAATATTATTAGGGTGGGGGGAGATTTCTTTACTGGTTGCAATTATAGTGGAAAGTGTAGGTATATGTTTGTGGAGGGGGAGGGGGGGTTGAGCCTATGGTTAGTGGTGGTGTGGTTGTTGGGTTTGAGTGGGAGAGTGGCACAAGTGTAGGGAAATTTGGGAATTTGGGGAATTATGTTTTACGTTGGGATGGGAAAGGGGAAGGTAATAAAACTATGGGTGTTGTTTCTACCAATTAAAATATTATATTTTAGACCCATAACATATACAGTACTACTGTAATAAGAAGCAGAAACTGTAGTTGGTATTACTCTACACTACCCCAAAACTACAGTACAGTCTACAACCAGTTTTATGATCAGAATTTGTTTAAATTAAAGTCCTGTGACTACAGTAAGGCATTCTCCAAATACAAAGACTAATAAAGAAAACAATTACCATTGAGCTACACAGACCAATGACAAAAGAACTTCAGGTTTTAAGATCATACATAAGTGTTGCTGGTTTCAGGTCAATATGACATGAGTTTCTCAAGATATTTAGTGGAAATACTGTGTGTGTATATGTTTTATATACATATATATACATATACAGTATATGCTCTATACATATATGCTCTATACACATATATACATATATATGTATAGAGGAACCTCGGGTTACGAGCGGCTCCATCTACGAGAATTTCAGGTCACGAACGAGCCACTCGGAAAATTTGTCTCAACTGACGAGCTTCTGCTCGGTTAACGAGAAAACCATGTGGTGTGTCCTAGCGTTCCCGCTGGTTCTTGCAAATGGACGCCTCCAACGATGCAGATTAATGAAAAAATATTTAAAAGATGTTAAGGATGCTGGGATGTAAAGGGGTGACTGGTGTAATGTTGCAACGCATTGATTTTTATTTATTTTTTTTTTTTTTTTTTTATTTTTTTTTTTTTTTTAGAAAAAAAGATTTGAAGCAATTTAAAAATTAATAAATGTCAAAAGGTTCATTCACTGTATGTGAGGTAGGCTGCTCCATTTTCTATAAAAAATAAAAAATAAAATATAAAAAAAAAGATTGAAAAAATCGGAAAAAAGAACAAATGTTGAAAAGGTTCGTTCAGTGTGTCAGGTAGGCCGCTTCATTTTCTATAAAAAATTTAAACAAATTAAAAAATATATTTAAAAAAAATAACAAATCTCAAATCTCCAAAAGTTCTTCACCAATTGCTTTGAAATTTTGACCCAACGTTCCATTCGAATACACGCATGTTTTTATATACATACTACAGTATATAGTATATAGATGTCACGTCTATAACAGGTAAAAACATGTTTTTTTTTGTACTGTAAATCTTTTTCATGTCAGGAAATCTTTATAAGTTCTTCTCCGAAACTTCTTACCGATTGCTTTGAAATTTTGACACAACGTTGCATTCGAATATGTGCATTATTTTTATATACCTATTATAGAGATGTCACACCTCTGACAGGTAAAAACATGTTTTTTTTTAACTGTGCTTTTCATGTGAGGGAATAGTGGGGAGGACGAGGGGACGTGGGATGGGGAAATGGTAGGGAGGACGAGGGGACAGGGAAGTGGGGGATGGTGGGGAGGACGAGAGGACAGGGGAGTGGGGAATGGGGGGGGAGGACAAGGGGACGGGGGAGTGGGGAATGGTAGGGAGGACGAGGGGACGGGGGAGGGGGAATGGTGGGGAGGACGAAGGGACGGGGGAGGGGGAATGGTGGGGAGGACGAAGGGACGGGGGATCGAGTGGGAAGGACAAGGGAACTGGGAGGGGGGACTGATGGGGAGGACGAGGGGAGGGGGGAATGGTGGGGAGAATGAGGAAACGGGAGTGTCGGGAGTTCTAGTCGGCAAACTAGACCATCCCTATATCTCCACAGACAATGGAACAACCAAAAATATTGTATACCAACAAGCATTGTGAAATTAAACATATTAGAAATGGGTGCTTTCTCTTTTCTTTCTTTTCCATTTAACAAGACTGAGCCACAGCAATGTGTGTGCTCTGAGGACAAGACTGAGCCACAGCAATTGCAAATTCTACGCTAAAGGAATATGCAAATATGGAAAATTAGGAACAAAATGCAATTTTCTGCATCCTTGAAAATGCAGGAACATGTTGGCGAGGGGTACATGCCGTTTTGGAACAGGGTGTAGATACTTTCACCCTAAATTATGTCAATTTTCAATTAGGGACAAAAAATGCTACAATCTTCAGTGTCCGGAATTCCACGTGAGAGGTACACAGCGTTATAGACGGGAAGATCAATATGACACTACTGGAAATTTTTTACAGGAAGGCAGAAACAGAGTAGTAAATATAAGAGAGGAAACCAAAATCAAGAAATAAAGTTATGTTCATAAATGGCCTCCTAATAGAATCGAACTCAATATTTGGTGCATTTACAGAAACCCACACAAAAGACCACATGGATAGTGAAATCTGGATTCCGAATTATAATCTATATAGATGTGACAGAGTAATTAGGTCAGTATATTAAAGAGGAGCTGGCATGCACAGAGCTCCTGAACTCGTCCAATGAGGTGGTAGAGGTACTTGGAATCAAGGTAGAAAATATGCATCTATTTTTTTTTTTTTTTTTTTTTTTTTTTTTAGATAAATACAAGAGTTGTTACATTCTTGTACAGCCACTAGTACGCGTAGCGTTTCGGGCAAGTCCTTAATCCTATGGTCCCTGGAATACGATCCCCACCGCGAAGAATCGTCGTTACAACCAAGTACACATTTTACTGTTGCATTAAACAGAGGCTACAGTTAAGGATTTGTGCCCAGTAAATCCTCCCCGGCAGGATACGAACCCATGACAAAGCGCTCGCGGAACGCCAGGCGAGTGTCTTACCACTACACCATGGAGACAATATTATTACTTATTATTTTAATATACAAACCGCCAGATGCAACAGTTGAGTAATTCACTGAACAGATCCACAAAATAGAGAATATCCTTGATAACCTAGCAAACCCAGTGCCAGATATCATCTTCCTTGGAGACTTCAATCTACCCAGTTTAAAATGGAGAATAGTAAACAATAACATCATAGCAGGAAGTCAACCTGGAAATAACCAACCACAGGTCAGAGAACTACTGAGATTCTGTGACAAATTCTCGCTCAGTCAGCAGATTACAGAACCAACTAGGAACGAAAACACGCTGGACCTGATATTCACGAACAACGAGGAGCTAATCAGAGACATTATTGTCTCAGACACTACGTACTCGGACCACAAGCTCATTGAAGTACAAACTGGATGACTCCTGGTTCAACCTTGAGGCCGAGCGGACGTCTGGACTCCTCCTCCTCCGCCTGGGTGCTGCCTGATCATGTCTTGTTTTCGCGTTTTGGCTTTGCTACTGCCGTTTGACATCCCTTTTCAGCCGTCCGATTGTACGACGCCTGGCGCACATATCGCCTTAGGTCACAGGATTGTTGATAGATTTGTTTTTATTTTTTTTTTTTTACGTGTACTGGCTGGTTCTCCCGGCAGGGTGACGGTGTTCAGTCATCGGGAGGACAAACCCTTAATGCAAACTGCACCTACTATCAACAAGAAGAAGTGACGGTGTTCGGGGGCCGGCGGGTCTTGGTGGGCATCTGGTGTGCCCTCAGTCGTAGTGGGCGGCCGGCTTCTGCTCTGCCGGGGGACGCTGGATGACTTTTAGCGTTTTAGTTGGGGGCAGAGTTTTGGATTTGCTACCTGGTGTTCTCTGTGTGGAGCGGGGCCGGTGCTTGTCACCCTGAGGGACTCCTGGGGCTCCCCAATCATCTGCCTGACTGTGCGTTTATTTGCCGTATGGCATATTAGTTTCTAGTGATTGGCGTCACTCGTTTTGCGATTTGGCTTGGCGTTCCACCTCTCCAGGCTTCGTGATTCACCCTTAACCAGCCCGTCCTCCAAAAATGGGGTGGTAAATGTAAGAAGACAAATACAAATAAGTGCAATTATGTACTATTCATAGCAGTTAGGAATTGTACTTATTTTCACTTAGTATTAAATCGTAGTCAAATATATTGTGAATATTTGAGTTTACCTGAAAAACTGAATAGAAAACCACAACCTCACCTAACCGTCTTAGATTTTGAAGATAGTAATTTTATTGCTTCTTAATTACAATTAGTACTTAACCTATAGCTATATTGATATTACAGTTTTATAAAACTAATAAAACAAAACTAAAATATATCAATAAATTGTAAAGTAACTCAGGATATTTTAAAATTTTGTATAAAATCTATATTGTTTAATAAACCTGAAAAAGAAATTCCTGATATTTAAAACTTGTGATTAGCAGATTATAATTGAAAACTTCATCCTAAAATTCTGAGTGTCTTAACAGAAAACGAGGAATATTAAATTGGGGGAGGGGCTTGGGTAAATGTAACATCCCCATAAGTGCAATTATGCACTGAGTATATCAGTAAGAAACCCCTTAACGGGTACGCCGGGGCACATCCGATCACGGGAGACATCTCCCGTCCACGAGACTAACCATAGCCCGTGCTTCTTGCCCCGCTCCTGTGCCAGGTAAGTTACGGGCTCACCATAGCCCGTGCTACTTGGAACTTGTTCAGAGTAGCTGAATCTATAACAACAACAGCGCCTCCGATCCCACGATCGTCGTCGCCCCTAACTCAACAAGTGCAAACTAACATTAATAACGGTAGTAGGCCCAAGTGTTTTGTACCCAGTATTATGTTTAGGGTCCTCATTTTTACCATACCTGAGTACAGTGCCTGGAATTTATCACTGTTAATCATCATGTTATTTTCTGCCGCCCAGTCAAAATATTTATTAATATCTGCTTGTAGTTTTTCAATGTCTTACTGACATTACAGGAAGTACAAGGCCAGTATCGAACATCAGTGTTGATTTGACTATACCACCCTATGATCATGAGGCACAGCAT